GAGTCGAGGCTCGCGCGCGTCTGTTCCCATGGAAACGGGTCAGATCTGTGGAGATGTCGCCGGGTTCAGCGCGAGGACGAGAGATTGAAGTTTAATGTGACACTGCGGAACATTCAAGGCAAAACAATCTCCACTCCACACACTGTTTTTAAAACTTTTCCATGACTTTTTAATGATCTAAAGTGAATTTTCCAGGACTTTCCAGCACCTGCAGATGTAAAACTGATCAGAGTTTTAGTGTAAATCTGAAATGTTTAACTCTTTCCTCTCAACTTACGGTTCACTCACTAAAACTCCAGGACTTTTACTAAACTTTCATTGAATTTACACAGATCCATGACTTTTCCAGGATTTCCATGACCGTGGGAACCGTGTCCATGGAAACGAACAAAGGGCAAAACTCCACCACTAAAGTTACACAGTGCACTTTTTTTTTTAAACTTTATTTAAAGATTTTCTTTTTTTTTCAGATTTTCATTTTCCTGTTTTATATTTTATTTCTTATTTTTCCGAACAAACGAACCTCAAGGACCTGGAAAAATAAAACAAGCAAAATAAAAAAAATAATAAATAAGTAAAATAAATCAAAGTTTCCTCTTATGTCTCAGGTGAAGCTCCACACCTGGACTCACAGCGCCCCCGCCTGTCCAGTGTGTGCACGCGCAGGAGCAGACAGGTGCAGACAGGTGCAGACACACACCTCTGCTCCTGTCGCTCCTGTCGCTCCTGTCGCTCTCGACTCGTGTGTCTGGGGGTTTTATTCTGACAAAAACAAAACTACAAGAACAATTTTGATTATTGTGTGTGTTCCTCCTGTGTCTGTGTCTGTGTCTGTGTCTGTGTCTGTGTGTGTGTGTGTGTGTGTGTGTCTGTGTGTGTGTGTCTGTGTCTGTGTGTGTGTGTTCTGTCTGTGTGTGTGTGTTCTGTCTGTGTCTGTCTGTGTGTGTGTGTTCTGTCTGTGTGTGTGTGTTCTGTCTGTGTCTGTCTGTGTGTGTGTGTTCTGTCTGTGTCTGTGTGTGTGTTCTGTCTGTGTGTGTGTGTTCTGTCTGTCTGTGTCTGTGTCTGTGTCTGTGTGAAAGTTCTGGACTGTATTAATGCTGTTTTTAGTTTGTTTTAATTAATATTTAGTTTTTTATATTTACACTGAGTCGTGACTGAAACTGTAAATTTAAACTTTTCTGTTTCAGTTTTTTTCTTGTTTTCTGTCGTTGTTTAAACAGGTTTGATGTTATTTTTATTCAACTCTTTTAGTCCTGATCTGTGGGACTGTGGCTCCATGTTTTGTTTAGTTTTGTTTTTTGCTGCAAAATGACCCAAAAAAACTACAACAACTAAGACTGAAAGACTGAGTTAATTTAATTTAATTTAATTTATTTTCTGTAGAACCTGTGATAAAAGTCGACTGGGTGGAATCGTCAGGTGGAATTAAACTACGTCTGTGTTCAGATGCTCCTGAAGTGACTCAGATCCAGATGTTTTGTCTCTATGTTCCTGTATTTGATCTTTTAATGACGTCTGAACCACACAGATGTGATGTTTTCACATGTGACCAGGACACTTGGATCTGTGCTCCTGAAACTGATCCATATCTGATCTTTAACATGTGACTTGAGTGTGAACAGTCAGGTCACATTCATCCACCTACACGTCATCAACAAGACACAAACGTCACTATTCTGCACTGAAGTAGAGAAAACTGTTCATGATCCATGTGACTGAAGTGAAGCACATCTCCACTCAAAAAACCACCAGGTTTTTGGTGGTCTCCTTCTCCTTCTCAATCTCCTCCTTAAGTCAACAGGTTCATGAACATGTTGTGGCTCCGGTACGAGAGGAACTTTAGTGACGTTTGTGTCTTGTTGATGACGTGTAGGTGGATGAATGTGACCTGACTGTTCACACTCAAGTCACATGTTAAAGATCAGATATGGATCAGTTTCAGGAGCACAGATCCAAGTGTCCTGGTCACATGTGAAAACATCACATCTGTGTGGTTCAGACATGAAAAGATCAAATACAGGAACATAGAGACAAAAAATCAGATCTGAGTCACTTCAGGTGCATCTGAACACAGACTTGTGTTCAGTCAGTGTTTGTGATTTTATGATGAAGAGGAAGAGGAAGAGGAAAAGTCGTCTGTGCAAATAAACAAATAAATAAATGAAGATTAAACCAAGTGTGAAAATCAACATGAAGCAAAAAAAAAAAAACACCAACAGAAACTCGTCTGGTTCTGACACGAGAGAAAATGAACAATGTTTCTCTCTTTTCAGTTTTATTTCTCTCACACGTCCAAACCCCCGAGTCTTTTGGAAATTCAGTTACAGTTACTGTTTCAGTGAGTGGGAATTGGATTACAGTTACTTTGCTCAAATAGAGGGATTAAACAGAGGGATTTGACTGTTTTCACATTTTGGGTTAAATCCATTTTTTCCCCCCCCAGTAATTCCACTCAAACTAAACCAGGACTAAACCAGGACTAAACCAGGACTAAACCAGGACTAAACCAGGTCTAAACCAGGTCTAAACCAGGACTAAACCAGGACTACTAAACCAGGACTAAAACCAGGACTAAACCCTAAACCAGGACTAAACCAGGTCTAAACCAGGACTAAACCAGGACTAAACCAGGTCTAAACCAGGACTAAACCAGGACTAAACCAGGTCTAAACCAGGTCTAAACCAGGACTAAACCAGGTCTAAACCAGGACTAAACCAGGACTAAACCAGGACTAAACCAGGTCTAAACCAGGACTAAACCAGGACTAAATCCTGCTGTGTGGACGTGTTTCATCTTTTTCTATCAATAATATTTTTAATTTGGTTAAATAAAGTTTGGACTTTTTATTTTCTTTTATCAGACAAAACTTCTTATGTGAAGATTTCCTCGTCTTTGTTTCTTTACAGCAAATCAAGTAATCCAAAGTAATCAGATTACATTACTCACTTTAAGTAACTTTATGGATTCCGTTACAAACTACATTTTGGTGTGAGTAATCTGTAATCTGTAATCTGTAGGGGATTACATTTGAAAAGTAAACTTCCCAACTCTGTCTGTAGATGATTTTCACATGGACCTGAGGATGAAAACTCTTCACGCTGCTGTGAACTTGACATATTTAATGTTCATTATTCTGTGTTGTTCCTTTATAAATAAATCACAAATCAATTTCAATCTATTGAATCTGAAGATGTTTTGTGTTTCAGTCGTTTGTTTCTGAGCTCTGCCACTTTCATCTACACGAGTGAAGAAAGTTGGTGGTTCAGTGGGAGTTTGTCGTGGTTCAGTGGGAGTTTGTGGTGGTTCAGTGGGAGTTTGTGTCGTGGTTCAGTGGGAGTTTGTGGTGGTGGTTCAGTGGGAGTTTGTGGTGGTTCAGTGGGAGTTTGTGTCGTGGTTCAGTGGGAGTTTGTGTCGTGGTTCAGTGGGAGTTTGTGTCGTGGTTCAGTGGGAGTTTGTGTCGTGGTTCAGTGGGAGTTTGTGGTGGTTCAGTGGGAGTTGGGAGTTTGTGTCGTGGTTCAGTGGGAGTTTGTGTCGTGGTTCAGTGGGAGTTTGTGGTGGTTCAGTGGGAGTTTGGGAGTTTGTGGTGGTTCAGTGGGAGTTTCAGTGTGTGGTTCAGTGGGAGTTTGTGGTGGTTCAGTGGGAGTTTGTGGTGGTTCAGTGGGAGTTTGTGGTGGTTCAGTGGGAGTTTGTGTCGTGGTTCAGTGGGAGTTTGTGTCGTGGTTCAGTGGGAGTTTGTGGTGGTTCAGTGGGAGTTTGTGGTGGTTCAGTGGGAGTTTGTGTCGTGGTTCAGTGGGAGTTTGTGTCGTGGTTCAGTGGGAGTTTGTGTCGTGGTTCAGTGGGAGTTTGTGGTGGTTCAGTGGGAGTTTGTGGTGGTTCAGTGGGAGTTTGTGGTGGTTCAGTGGGAGTTTGTGGTGGTTCAGTGGGAGTTTGTGGTGGTTCAGTGGGAGTTTGTGTCGTGGTTCAGTGGGAGTTTGTGGTTCGTGGTTCAGTGGGAGTTTGTGTGGTTCAGTGGGAGTTTGTGGTGGTTCAGTGGGAGTTTGTTTGTGTCGTGGTTCAGTGTGGAGTTTGTGGTGGTGTTCAGTGGAGTTTGTGGTGGTTCGTGGTAGTTTGTGTTCGTGGTTCAGTGGGAGTTTGGGAGTTTGTCGTGGTTCAGTGGGAGTTTGTGTGGTCAGTGGGAGTTTGTGGTGGTTCAGTGGGAGTTTGTGGTGGTTCAGTGGGAGTTTGGTGGTTCAGTGGGAGTTGTGTGGTTCAGTTGGGAGTTGTGTGTGGTTCAGTGGGAGTTTGTGGTGGTTCAGTGGGAGTTGGAGTTTGTGTCGTGGTTCAGTGGGAGTTTGTGGTGGTTCAGTGGGAGTTTGGGAGTTTGTGTCGTGGTTCAGTGGGAGTTTGTGGTGGTTCAGTGGGAGTTTGTGGTGGTTCAGTGGTAGTTTGTGTCGTGATTCAGTGGGAGTTTGGGAGTTTGCGTCGTGGTTCAGTGGGAGTTTTTGGTGGTTCAGTGGTAGTTTGTGTCGTGATTCAGTGGGAGTTTGTGTCGTGGTTCAGTGGGAGTTTTGTGGTGGTTCAGTGGGAGTTTGTGTTGTGGTGTTTCAGGTTCAGGTTTGGTTTTTAGACACTTTTTGTTCATGTTTGATTCGAGTTTGTAAATGTGCAGAGGCTCAGAGTCTCTGCAAAACCCGAGACAGAATCCAACTGGAAATGTGATGAAGGTGAAAAACCCTCTTGATTCACTCTGAAGTTGTTTTGTGTAAAGTTCCAGAAGAAGTGAGATTAAAGTAGAGCTTCTCAAACTGTGGGTCAGGGTCCAGTAAAAGGACACAGAGAGTTTCAGAGAGGAACAGTTTGGATTATTTTAAACCTACATGAAGATGAATCAGATCAAATGGAGACAGATTTATAAAAACACTGATATAAATGTGACAAAAAATCTGTAAAATACAAAGAAATGTAGGAAATGACAGAGTTGGTCTTGATTTGGTCTTGGTTTTGTCTCAGTCTTGTCCTGGTCTCGGTCTTGTCCTAGTCTTGGTTTTGTCTCGGTCTTGTCCTGGTCTCAGTTTTGTCTCGGTCTTGTCCTGGTCTTGGTTTTGTCTCGGTCTTGTCCTGGTCTCGGTCTTGTCCTGGTCTTGGTTTTGTCTCGGTCTTGTCTCGGTCTTGTCCTGGTCTCAGTTTTGTCTCGGTCTTGTCCTGGTCTTGGTTTTGTCTCGGTCTTGTCCTGGTCTTGGTTTTATCTCGGTCTTGTCCTGGTTTCGGTCTTGTCCTGGTCTTGGTCTTGTCCTGGTCTTGATTCGTGTTCTTGACTGGAGGATAAATTGTCGTGTGGATTTGTGCTTCTTTAGTCGGAGAACACGACTGTTCACATGACCCACGCACACACTAATGACCCACGCACACACTGACCCACGCACACACACACACACTCACACTAACGAGTTTCGAATTTGCCTGAACTCGAGTGTAAAGTCTGATCCTCGTGTGAAACATCAAACCCACGACTCTGATCCAAACAAACTGGTCACGTTGTGGGGCTCTGGGTTTGGGTTTATTCAATCTCTACAACTGGAAACAGAAAAACGTGACGTCGGGTTATAAAGTAAAATAATGGAATATATATAATATATATATATATATATATATATATATGTATATTTTGTATATTTTTGTGAGGCGAGTCCCTGAGTTGGGTGTCGTCGTTTCCCTGGAGTTTCCTGCTCTGATCCTGAGGAGGAGGAGCAGCTCTCGTCTAACGTCTCTTATGTTTTTACACTGAACATTTCTCTGATTTGACCCTGAGTGTCAAACTTCTCTCAGGTTCTTCGTGTTGTTTTCAGTTTTCTGATCGACTCTCTCGTTCTGAGACGTTTGATTCTCGTCTAGAGGAAGTTTATTTGAAGAGAAACTCGTCCAGTGAAATGATCTTTCTGCGTGGACACATCATTTCAACACTTTAACTCATTTTTTGATCGATTTAAGTGTTTTTGTTTTATATTTTGTGCTTAAAGTTGCAGTATGAAACTTTTCTCATCACTTTGTCTCCATGTTATTGATGTTTCTGAAACAAACGGAGAAACCGACAGACCAAAGGAGCGAACACACGGTCAAACAGCTCCAGGAAAAACACCAGATCTGAGTGTAAAGCTGCACTGTGGGACATGTCCACAGACGCAGGTGCAGATCCTCCACCAGGAAAGTGACGCAGTGCAGCTTTAAACTCAACTGAAGGTTCAGTAATGTTTGTGTTTTTAAGTGAATCACAGAAGAAATAAAACAACAGAACGAAGCTGGATTCAGCTGTTGTGTGATTTTCTGTTCCAGTGGGATCATGTTCACGTTAGAGACTGAAATCTTAAACATGTTTGTAGAGCTCGAAACTCGAACTCGAAAGAATACGACCCAGCAGAGACACGAGGGGAGGGCATCTGACGCACAGGGACGTTTCAGAACATGTTTGGAGATGTAAACTACAGGGTTAACGGCTTTTCCGCAGAAGAAACCCCCCAGACGCACGGCTGATAAAACGATCTCACCGTCTCTAAATGAAACTCAAAAGTAAAAGAGACGTGTGGAAGTGTCAGAGAAATGTTGTTTTTGTTTGGTTCATGTTGTGGTAGATTCAGCTGTTTCGGGGCAGAGGAGCAGTGACGTAAATGAGAAAACTTTAAATAAAACTCTTAATAAAAATACCTGAGTGTTTGTGTCCGGGCGACAGAAAAACCTCTTCCTCCTGAAACTCAAACACTGCAAAAAAACTTCAGATATAAACACTTAAACCGATCAGAAAATGACTTAAACTAGTGACATGATCTCGCTGCACGGAGAGATAATTTTATCTTCAAATAAACGACTCCAGACGAGAATGAAGCGTCTCAGAAGTGTTTCATAAAATTGAAAACATGAAGAACCTGAGAGGAGCTTTAAAATCTAGGCCTGATCAGAGAAATGTGCGGTGAAGGTGCACGCTCAGGTTCTGCTCTTACGGGTTTTTGCTGCAGATTCTCCGGAAAAATATGAAACTGATGAAGACAGTGACCTGGACCTCGAGAGAGAGAGAGAGAGAGAGAGAGAGAGAGAGAGAGAGAGAGAGAGAGAGAGAGAGAGAGAGAGAGAGAGAGAGAGAGAGAGAGAGAGACGACCTCCAGAGCCTCCACAGGGGCTTTTCAGACTGTGATGATGATGATTTTGTGAGTGTGTGTGAGTGTGTGTGTGATCTCACTGTGCTTCTGAACCAGACTCGTGAGCTGCTCCGTCTGTGAGCGATGACCTGACTGGACCTGACTGGAGAATGTGACGGTCGACTTGTGTATGTTTCATTTTAAAGTGCGGTGCTTCGTCTGTGGGGTGAAGGTTCTGAGGTCAGTTTAGTTTTGACTTGTTTCTCACACGGACACAGAAGAAACTAGAGCTGTTCAAACCGCACGAGCACGAAGGAGGATCCAGAAAAATGTGCAGGTCACAGGTCACACGGAGGGAAACGTGGAAACTCTCAGCTCCATCAGAACATCTCCTAAAAATATTTGTTTGTGTTTGTGAATCAAAAGATGTGACATCATTTCACAGGTAAATCATTTTGTCGATTCTTGATGAAATCACCTCAAATTTTCACAGAATCTTTAGAAATAGATCCAAGATTTTATATTTGAGCCGTTCACTCCCAAAGAGAATCTGCTGCTCAAACTCACCCAAAACTGTGCAGCAAAACAAAACATTTGGAAAAACTAATTTGGACTTGGTACAAAACTGTGCAGAGTTCAGTGTTTCTGCAGAACTAAAGAATCTGGACCAACATCAGACGAGAAGTGAACGACTCAACCTGAAAACAGAAACAATATAAAACATCACATATAAAATCTTCATCTGTTTCTAAACATTCTGTGAAAATCTGAGGTTATTTCAACAAGAACTGACAAAGTTATTGACCTGCAAAATGATGTCAAATGTTTTGGGACATTCTGGACTTTTGTTCAGTTTTCCTGGTTTGTTTCTCTCTTTATATAAACTCATGTGACACAAGTTCTACAAAAGAACTGTTCTAGATAGAAAAACTGAAATGTTAAAACTATGAAAACATCGAGGTCGTGACCCGTCCCTCCGTCTCACCTGCTCAGCCCAAACCCCCCCCCACAGGTTGAACAGGAGCCGCTCGCTGTGTTTACACTCGTGTGTTCACATTTGGACAGTTTGGCTCCAGCGCAGAGACCAGAACTTCAAAATAAAAACTGAGACATTCTGTTTTTTGGTGGTTGTTAATAATAAAACTGTGAAATGAGTGCGGAATTAAGCAGAGACAATTCACGACGAACACGAGTCACTATAGTCCCTTTTCTTTGTGTTTTGGTCGTTTTTAAGCAGATTTTCTGTATTTTACCAAAACAAATGACCTCTGTTTACTGTTGCAGGATCAGATTGGACAAACAAGATTTACCTGGAATATTTCTTGTATAAAACTGGGACAAATCAATAGTTCTGTATAAATCTGTCAGGACAGAGGACACAGGGGACACAGGGACATAAACTGAGCCGTTTGGTTTCCCGGTGCCGGAGCGGAGCCACAGGAGCCGCAGCGTTCAGACTCAGAGCGGCTCAGAGGCGCGTGAGGAGAACAGAGCTGCAGACCCGCTCCACGCGCGGCTCCATGTGCGCACCTGTCCCCCGCACCACAGCGCCGAACCAGACCGAACCAGGCCGAACCAGACCAGTGTGAGCTCGATCTGATCAAACCAACACACGTCTGCGTCACAACTCACACAAACCTGCGCTAATGGTGACACAGCACGCATGCGCAACGACCCTGCGTCAATCAGACCTGTTTGCGTAAAATTCCCTGCGCCAAAGTTCAGTAAATGCGTCTTTATGTTCACGTCTGTCAGAGGCAGAACCGAGAGCGGCTCACAGACCCGCACAGACCCGCACAGACCCGCACAGACCGCGGGTTTTACGCGCTCACGTCCCGCTGTGTCTTTTCTTTGTTCCAGAAAATCGTGCGGACCGCGTTACAGCAGAAAGTACCGTAATAACACTTTATCTGTCCGCCTGTATCACTAAGGCCCCGTGTGCGAACCGAACCGAGCTCCAGAAACTCTGTCCCCGATCCACGCGTGACCCACAGACCCACAGCAGCGCCCGGCACAATGGCTCCTGTGTGTGTCCTTTTCTGAAGGTAAAACAAGACGAAGCCTCCTCTCCTCTCCTCCTCCTCTCATCCTCCTCCTCCTCTTCATCCTCCTCCTCCTCCTCCTCCTCCTCCTCTTCATCCTCCTCCTCATCCTCCTCCTCTCCTCTGCACCAAACACCGCGGACACAAACACGTTTATCTGATCTGAATAAAGATAAACTCAAACGTTTGAGCAACATCAAGAAACTCCAGAGTCTGTGACAGACTCAGAGTCAGAACCAGACACACACACACACACACACACACACACACACACACCATCAGCCCCCGGTTCCGTGAGACCGAGTTTTCCGAGCGGAACAAAACATAGATCCGAGTTTGAGGCTCAGGCCCCGGAGCCCCGGAGCCCCGCGCTCCTCCGCGCTCGGAGGAGCCTGTCCCGGCTCTGTCCGCGGCTCTGTCCGCGGCTCTGTCCGCGGCTCTGTGCGCGGCTCTGTCCGCGGCTCTGTCCGCGGCTCTGTGCGCGGCTCTGTGCGCCGCTCGGGCCGCTGCTCCTGCTCCTGCCCCGGTGTCTCTGCTCCAGGCCCCGGGTCCCGCTGCTCCGCTCCACCGGGTCTCCGCGCCGCCGCCCCCCGGTCTGAAGGCTCGGTGCCGGGGCTCGGACCGGGCCGGGACCGGGCGGCGGGTCGAACCGGACTGGACCGGACCGGACCGGGCGGAGGTTTGAACCTGGTGGCTTCACAAAATGGCGGCGGAGGAAGCTGCGCACGAGCACAAACGGCGCTGACGTCACCAGTGAGGCGCCGCGTGCTCTTTTCTCCACCCGCGACAAAAACCCGCAGATCCTCGAGTCCCGCGGAACCGACACGCACCGGGACGGAACCGCGTGGATTCATGTCGCTCCGTCGAACCCCGCGCTCACTTCGACCCGCAGGAAGGTAAAGGCGGGACGGGCCGGAGCTCCGGGCCGGAGGGAGGTGTGTGGGGTTCGGGCTGAGGCCTGGGCCGGTCCCGGGTCAGAACCGAGGCCCGGGGGCCGCCGTGGGTCCGCGCGGAACCTCCGACCCGCGCGCGCCGCGGTGTAAGCGGATCTGACCCGGTTCTGTCCCGGTTCTGTCCCGGGTCCGGTGGTGTTAGCCCGGGTTAGCACGTGTTAGCCCCGTTAGCCTGGTTAGCCGAGCGCAGGGCCTCGGGTTCGGGTTCGGCTCTGGGTTTTATGTGCAGGTGTTTTTGTGAGGTCCGGGTCGGTCCGGTTCGGTTCAGGTTCATGTTCATGTTTTAATCTTGTGATTCCAGCTTCAGTTTGTGTTTTTGTGGAGCTAGCGCTGTAGCGGCGCATTAGCATCACACAAACCTGCTGAAAAAAGAGATTTTTAAGTAAATGTTGATGCTCTTCGGACTTGAAACGGCTCATTGTCTCCGTCCGACGGGTTCGGGTTCAGGAGGTTTAGATTTAGATCAGAACTGGACTCAGGTGCGTTTCTCAGGTGAACAGGAAGTGTCCATTTTTGGGAAGAGAGGGGGCGGGGCTTATAGAAACAGACCGTAGATGTGCCCCAGAGGACTGGACCAATCACAGTGAAGTGTGACTCATAGTGAAGCAGAGTCATGTTTCCTGTCGCAGACGTTCACACACTTCAGTCTCTTTACACACGTGTGAGTGATGATGTCATCAGGTGGGGGCGTGTCCTCACGACTTAAACACAAACAAATGAAACGTGACGCGGACGCTCAAACATTTATAGAACCATATCTTATTTGTAGAACCATATCCATGTTCAGAAAAGGGTCGTCCAGGCCTGAACTGACTGAACCTTCACCTAAAGCCCCACTGTGGAACATTTCAGCCAAAAATAAAGTTCCACTGAAGCTTTTTCTTTTTTTCAGTGTTTTTATGACACTAGAAACATTTAAACATCTTCACTGCCTCTTCACAAACTTGTGGCATAAAACAGATCTGTGTCTGTGGAGAATGTTCTAGACTTCAACTCTTTCTCCTCGTGGGATGGAGCAGGTGGAGTGAATGTCCCACAGTGCAGCTTTAAACGGCGTCACAGGTCCCAAAAGTCCCGACTGTTCCAAATCTGATCATTTAGATTCAATAAAACCACAGTAAACGTTTTAGATTCATCACGAGTCGAGTCTGTGGAACAGGCCAAAGGGGTGAGTGCACCTGAAACATGAAACATTAAACCTGGACTAAACCTGGACTAAACCTGGACTAAACCTGGACTAAACCTGGACTAAACACAGAACCGTTTGTGTATTTAATTTTCTACTTTCTGTCAAATTAGAAGAAAACAAAAAGTTTCTGTGTAATAAGACAAACTGAAGTTTCTGAATCCACACAGAGCTCAGAGTTTGTGTTCATGACATTTCAGTGAGAATCCTTTTTTTCTCTAATAAAACACGAGCTCCACGTTTGAGTTCGTCCCGTTTCCTTTTGGAGCTCGGAGGTTTGGAGCTCGGAGGTTTGGAGCTCGGAGGTTTGGAGCTCGGAGGTTTAGACTCTCGCTGCTTCACGATGATTCAGATTTTATGAAACACAAAACTTTAACAAACACTGATCTTTCTTTAACACATTTACTCACACAGAGTTGGTCAGACAGACCCTGAGGACATTTTAATCCTTTTATATAAAACTAATACTTTCACGATCAGGAAGTTAATAAAGTTAAAACTGCAAGCAGCGATGGAGGCCCTTGTGAGGGACACGTGCTTCAGTGAGGTTGATTTGTCTTTGATCAGACCTGGGCCTCGTGCAGCTCCTGTTCCACGTCCGGCCCTTTGGTCGACTCAGCCCGTTTAAGCTCATTTGGAATTATAAAATAAACATATTTTATCATTTTACCTCATGCCTGGACTAAAGCTGCACTGCTTTTATTTTAGACGTGTTTTTTAAATGACATTTTGTTGTTGGGCACCGTCACTTTTTCATAAGTCAGAACATAAACTCTTCAGTCTGAGCAGCGTCACAACAATGAGATTTACTGATATTTAAAAAGAAATACTTAAGCATTTTGGTCTGCACAATATTTTCTGATGTTTTTCTGATTTGTCTGATCCACGATACTGACGAGAATTAAAAGTGAACTTCAGCACAGTTTAGGACAGAAACAAAAGTACTGCTGCTTTTATTAAAGTGTGAGAAGAGACGACACAGAGGACACACACACACAGACACACACGACACGCACACACACACAGACACACACACACACACACACACAGCTGCTGTCAACACACTGGATAATATTATTTTATAGATGATTGTTGTGAGTCAGGACACTTGTTAGTGCAGACCTGTGATGTGAGAGGAGCCTGTGTTATTATAAACAGCTGGAGTTTACTTCTTCTGTTTACAGATTAGTATGTGATACAAAAATGCCATTAGTCCCGCCTCCTGTCTTCAAATCTGATGTAAAGAGTCAGAACAGGTTTTATAATCAATTGAAGATTTACAGTGAATTTTTACATCACTAAACAAATCAGTTTTTATATCGGCTGTGGACTCCTCCAACTCACATTTTATCGGTTTCATATCGGCCGCAAAAAAAAAATAAATAAAAAATCCATATCGGTCGGGCCCTTGTACAAACCCCACGACTCAAGGCCTGTGAGGCTCAGATCGTCAGAGTTTGGTCGACGAGCTACAAACTTTGTCCAATCAGGAGCCTCGTCCAAATGTGTCGTGGTCATGTGGCGTAACACATGTAGACACATGTACACACGGTCTACATGTGTTATTATGGGCCTATACTGCACACGCCGTACACACACACCACGCACACCGTACACACACACCACACACACGCCGTACACACACCACGCACACGCCGTACACACATACCACACACACGCCGTACACACACCACACACGCCGTACACACACCACACACACGCCGTACACACACACACACACGCCGTACACACACCACACACACGCCGTACACACACACCACACACACGCCGTACACACACCACACACACGCCGTACACACACCACACACACGCCGTACACACACACCACACACACGCCGTACACACGCACACACACGCCGTACACACACACCACGCACACGCCGTACACACGCACCACGCACACGCCGTACACACGCCGTACACACGTACACACACACCGTACACACACGCCGTACACACGCCACACACACACGCCGTACACACACCACGCACACGCCGTACACACACACACCACGCACACGCCGTACACACACACCACGCACACGCCGTACACACACACCACGCACACGGCGTACACACACACCACACACACGCACCACGCACACGCCGTACACACACACACACACCACACACACCACGCACACACACACCACGCACACGCCGTACACACACACACGCACACACGCCGTACACACACACCACACGCACACGCCGTACACACACCACGCACACGCCATACACACACACCACGCACACGCCGTACACACGCCGTACACACGCCACACACACGCCGTATACACACACCACGCACACGCCGTACACACACACCACGCACACACCGTACACACACACCGTACACACACACCACACACACGCCGTACACACGCCGTACACACACACCACGCACACGCCGTACACACACACCACACACACGCCGTACACACGCCGTACACACACACCACGCACACGCCGTACACACACACCACACACACGCCGTACACACACACCACGCACACGCCATACACACACACCACGCACACGCCGTACACACGCCGTACACACGCCACACACACACCGTACACACACACCGTACACACACACCACACACACGCCGTACACACACCGTACACACGCACCACGCACACGCCGTACGCACACGCCGTACGCACACGCCCTACACACGCACCACGCACACGCCGTACACACGCACCACGCACACGCCGTACACACGCACCACGCACACGCCGTACACGCGCACCACGCACACGCCGTACACACGCACACGCCGTACACACACGCCGTACACACACCACACACACGCCGTACACACACGCCGTACACACACACCACGCACACGCCGTACACACACACCACGCACACGCCGTACACACGCACCACGCACACGCCGTACACACGCACACGCCGTACACACACGCCGTACACACACACCACGCACACGCCGTACACATGCCGTACACACACACCACGCACACGCCGTACACATGCCGTACACACACACCACGCACACGCCGTACACACAGTGAAGTTGAGGCAGAATTTAAAACAAAGGAAATTCCCCCTTCTGGAAATTCTTCAGTTGCAGAACCCAGCAGAAACTCAAGCATGAAACTAACGAGCGCGAGGAGTGAGGCTGTTGAGGGCCTCTTCCAGTCGGTTTAGCCGGGCGTTCAGCGCCTCCTTTTGATGCGTAGTTACAAAATTTTGTAGGTGCACATCAGTCGAGGCAGACGCTCTGAGGAGGGGCTTCACAGCGACGCAGACGATTTGACACACGACCATAGATTGGGCTTTATGGAGCAGGATCACAGGCTCAGCGCTCGGCCGGTGCTGTGGGTTTGAACAGTTTACTGTTTTTCACTCGACTCACGTGGATTTTCGTCATGAATGTGGATTTCTTCTTTGTGACCTGTAGCGTGTCAGTCAGGTCCTGTGACGGTCACAGAATGTAAAACAAATAATAAACCTGTTTTACCAGTTAAACCACCTCTGAGTCTTTTGTTTCTCTCTGTGTTAAACTGAGCCCAAACCTCAGACCTGCTCCTGTCTGTGTTTCAGGACCCTGTCAGACCGGACCCTGTCAGACTGGACCCTGTGGGACGGGAGCCAGGAGCTGCGGGGCCGTGAGGGGCTGTAGATGTCTCAGTCCGCTCCATGGCTCAGGCGCAGCAGAGAGAGATGGTGCTGCTTCAGGAAGAACCCCCCGGCAGAGCGCCCTCTGCTGGAGGACACAGGTGGAGCGAGGAGAGGGGGAAGTCGAACCCTCACCCTCAGAAAGAGCCCAGACCGGACGAGAACCTGCCCCCGGAGTGTGTTCTGCGGGGCATCCGGGTCACTCTGGACAACAACAGCATGTGGAACGAGTTCCACCGCTGCAGCACGGAGATGATCGTGACCAAACAGGGCGGCCGCATGTTTCCGTACTGTCGTTTTCGCCTGTCCGGCCTCAGCCCCCACAAAAAGTACAGCCTCCTCATGGACCTGCGGCCGGCCGACGCCCACAGGTACCGCTGGGGCGGGCGAGGCTGGCAGGTCTGCGGCAGAGCCCAGAGTCCCGTCCCCACGCCGCCCTTCGCCCACCCGGACTCCCCCGCCTCAGGCCAGCACTGGATGCAGAGTCCAGTGTCGTTTTACCGCCTCAAACTGACGAGCGACGCAGACGACAGGAGCGGGAACGCCGTGCTGCACCTGAACCAGCGCTACCTGCCGCACCTGCACGTGGTCCAGACCGACAGGGCCAAAGACGTGAAGCTGAGCGGGCCCGGCGTCGTCACCTTCACCTTCCCGCAGACGGAGTTCATGGCGGTGTCATTGTATCACAACAACAGGCTCACGCAGCTCAAAGTGCAGTACAACCCTTTCTCCAAAGGCCTGAAGGACGAGGCTGCGGCAAAGGGACTGAAACAGAACCCCACAGAACCGGGCCCTGGACAGAACCCGCTCAAGAAGAGCCTCAAGTCCCTGTTAGCCAACCACAAACCCAAGAGCTCCAAACCCACAGAACCCAAAGGAGAACCTAAAGGAGAACCACGAGAGACCCCCAAAACCTCAGCAGACCAGCCCAGATCCTCCTCCACAGACCGGCCCAAGTCCTGCTCCCGGGACCAGCCCAAGTCCCGTGACCAGTCCGAGTCTGCAGCTAAAGCCCCATCAGAACAAACCTGGTAAGAGCTGAGGTCTGAGGACTTAATAAAGACGAGTCTGCGTCAGTGAGTGAAGATTTGGTCCTGGGTTTGGTCTTGGTTTAGTCCTGGTTCTTTCTGTTGCTGTTTCTGTTCTTAGATTGTTCCTTCTCAGACGTACAGTTCTTCAGCTCTTTAAGGGCCACTCACACTAGGACTTTAGAACCGTGCTGATTGCTGTAGTTCTATGTTCTGCACTCACACCTGCACCACAGAACCGAGCCACGATGGCGGCTCGGTTTGTTTACTGATGGCAGCAGAGCGAACGATTTAGTGAGAAAATAAGTCCAGCGGCAGAAATATTTTAAGACCCGGAGACGAGGCTGCAGAACTTCTGTCTCTGTCACGGTCCTCACTGAAGTTGAGTGTGGATTCACTGTTCTTTAGAGTGACTTTAAACACTGTTTTCCTCATATGAGTGACATCAGCACACACACACACACACACGGCATAGTAAAGTCGTGTGTGTGTGTGTGTACATGGGCTCTGTGTTGTGCTTTGGCCCACCTCCAACTGGGCTAAAGTCTGAAACGTGCCCTCACACTGGACAAACGTACGTTGTTTTAGGGGTGATCCGTGCTTGGGCAGGGCTCTAAAGTCCTAGTCCCCGCTCACACTAGTGTGTATGTGAGTGGTGTTGTTGTGGTGCAGTGTTTGTTCACATTAATCCGATGGAAAACGGCTCCAGAGACGGAACGATCTGGTGCCTCCAGCTCCACGAGTTCATGTTGGTCCAGATGTGATGGGGACTGTGTGACTCCTGAAAACACTGATACTCTGATGTGTCTGTCACCGCCAACTCATTCACCACAAAACACTAAAGGGATGTTCAGACCAGAGCATCAAAGCGTCCAGTTTCCATGTAAAGTCTGTGGACGCGCGACTAGAGCGTCCTGCGTTTTTGCGGCGCGTCTTGAGTGTTGAAAATGCTGAACTTTTCGCATCAGACGCGTCGCGTCAACCAATCAGAGACGAGTATCCAGTGACGCAGCAAAGTTATTATCAGGAAGAAAAACCTGAGAACCAGAGCGAGAACCACAAACATGAACGGAGCATAAATATATACACCACAATCACCGAGCCGATCACGAGGACTACACCAGGACCAGACCGGGACTAAACAAGGACTAGACCGGGACTAAACAAGGACTAGACCGGGACTAAACAAGGACTGACCCAGTGTCATTAGTGAAGTATAAATATATATACGCCCCACTCGTTGACCCGTTTGTCTCCGCTGATGGTTTTATGTTATAAAAAACAGTAAAGTCTCTCTCAGTCTGGTCTGACATCGTTTCAGGAAAAGACCTTCACCGGGCTCTTGTTTCCAGGGCAAGTATTTTTCAAAGGTCTCCAAAGAGACCTGCAGGTGCAGATGTAGGTGATGATGTGAGTTCTGAGGACAACAGCAGGTGATGGAGTTTAGATTAAAACTGTTCTTTCTAAACTTAGAGCTTAAAGGTTCATATCACACTGATCTGTTCTGATGTTTCCTCATCACACACACACACTGGAGTTGTGTTTTGTTTCATTCACATGTTTAACACATAAACCTGCACATTTAACACAAGTTCTTCTTTCAAAACACACTAAAAACACTCTGTTCCACCTTGTGATGTCATCATGTGGTGATACAGGAAGTGCTCCATCCTGTTTTTAAACTCCACACACCTTCACTAGAATCATCTGGATCATTTCAGTCCTGGAGTTGCCGATCTTGACTGAACTAAAGAGAAAAGGAACAGGTGGTGGAGCAGAGTGTTTGGAGCGTTGGAGATGTAGACAGACTCATAATAAAGAGTTACTCAAACGAACAAACAAACACAACTCCAGCTCTGAGTGTGACCAGGAACATTAGACAGGAACATTAGAACGTGACTTGAAGCTCACAGGAGTCAGTTTTGTGTGATGCAGGACGTGTTTGTAGCAGCTTTGCACTGTCCAGATGGAACCTACAGAAGGTGATGATTTGTCTTGGTCAGAAGAGGAGTCAGTCTATATGTGACTCGTATTGCGACATTTCGGTTTTGGCATTTTAGTTTTCTGCTCTACATGATCCTGGGGTTTTTGTTTATCTATTTTGTCTGTTAAAAAAGTTCTGGTTCTGGAGTCTGGCTCTAAATTCTCGCCTGTAACTTCCAGCCTTGATGAGCTTCATTTGACTGGAGCTGAACGCTGTGGGTTCACTCACTTTGGCTCAGTTCTGACTGCAGGGTTTTATGTGAAATCCAATTTTTTGCGAGGTCGTTCACATTTCCAGTTAAATGTGACTTGTGTGTGATCTCCAGTGTGAACTTTAAACGCCCCAAAAGTGTCCCACATGTGCATTAGAGACACGACGACGTCACACACAGCAAGCATGTTCAGGGTTTACAGAAGTCGCCTAAACTCTGGGCTTGTCTCCCAAAATCCGGTCCAGTTGTTGGTGAAATGTTCAGGTCACACTTCCACAGCCGCTTCATTTGTTTGAGTCTTTATCCTCCTTGTGTTTGTCTCGCAGGATCTTTATTTTTCATTGACGTTGGACTCAGGACCCCGTGTAGCTGCACTCGCACATTTCTTTGGCAATCATTCCAAAACTGCCTGGTTCTGATAAGACTTCTCCAATTTGTCCTGAATACATCGATCCCCTAAATACGAATAAACTCACTAGCCTCACTTTCCCTCCACTGACGAGACTCCGAGCCTTCAGAGCCTGAAAATTCTCTTGCATGAGAGAATTCTTGCATCGTCTGCTGTGGTTGTGTCTTTCTTCCAGTTTCTGTCTCCTTCAGTGCAGAATAGTGACGTCTGTTGCTTGTTGATGTGCTGTTTCGTTCTGCACCTGGAGTTCCCAAATCTGATTTTTCGTCCCTCTGCTCCTGTTTCTCATCTTTTAATGTCAGTCGGAACCACTCAGATCTGGTTTTGTTCAAATGTGACCCAGGACACTTGGATATGTGCTCCTAAAACCCAAACAGATCTGACCTTTAACATGTGACTTCAGTCTGAATATCCATGTCACATTCATCCACCTACACGTGTCACAAATGTTCACAAACGACACTGTTCTGCCGAAGGAGGTGGAAACTGGAAGAAAGACACAACCATGACGGACGACAACGCAAGAGAATTTTCAGGCTCTGAACGTTCCTTCCTATGGACGTTGCTGCCACTGCCCCACAAAAACTCCACTGCCGGAAACCTTGTCCTTCTCCTTCTCAATCTCCTCCTTAAAACAAATCATCTGTTCATGTTCTGGCTCCGGTTTAGCAGCAGCTTTAAAATCTCCAGGTGCTCGATGCTGCGTCCAGGTTTATGTCGCTGTGTGTGACGTTGTCGTGTCTCTAATGCTCATGTGGGACACGTTTAAAGTTCACACTGGAGATCACACACAAGTCACATTTAACTGGACGACCTCAACCTCTTTTATTTGTTTTGTCTTTTTAACTGTTAAAAATTTGAACTATGCGTCCTAAGTTTTAGAGCCCAAATCCTTTTAAAATGTCTCTAATTCTCTGTGTTTCGTGTTTCGCTGCAGCCCCGCCCCTCCACCATCACAGAAGTTGTTTTCGGAGCGAATTCGAGAGGCGCACGTGGCTCTGCAGAGGTGTAATTTATCCCAGTACGAAGTCCACAACATTTCCTCTGAACGGACTCCACAAAACTCTGCAAAAGACTCTGAAAAAGAGGGAACGAAAGGCCAAAACTGCACGAAAAACGCAGAGAAACCGAGAAAAGATTGTTTTGTTTCGGGCAAAGACGACGCAAGGACAGAAGTCTGTAAGGAGAACAAACCTGTAGCTTCAACCGCTTCTAAATCTGAACCTTCGTCTGAGGCAAAGGTTCAGAAACGGCCGCCCACTCTGCCTCTGTCTGCGCTCGGTCGGTTCTTAAAGCAACACTCGGCCAAATCGAAAAAGGCAAAAGTCGAAACTGATCATGCTAAAGAAGCTGATAATGCCAAGACTGTAAAAGATCGAATGGTACAAACAAATTCACAACTAGAATCTCGAAAAACTGAAACTAAACTTGAACCGTCTTTGAGCGAGTCCAAGGACGTTACTGACCCTCTTACAGCGGCTGAACGCAAAGAACCTAAAACAGATTTACCAGTGGAGAACGCAGTATCACATAAACCAGAAAATAAGCTAAAACTGTCCTGCAGTTCAACCAAGAAACAGGAGAATTTTATAGAAGATGTTCAGAATTCGGAATCAAAAGAAAAATCTGAACATTTGCACCAGTCAAAGCAAGAATCGTGTGCAACGGAAATCCCCGAATCGAACTGTAAATCCACAGAAAGCCAATCAGAACGTTTACCAGTAACTTTACCAGAACCTTCTGATCAGGTATTTACAGTCCGGAATGTTCCCAAACCCCGAAAGAAACGGAAAAAGTCAAAATGGCACAAACCGAAACCAAAACCGCCAGCGCAGATTTCTCATTCAGACCCCGGTTTAGGTCGGAGAACTTTATCACCTCAGAAAGACACAGAACCACGTGAGACTGATCAGTGTTTAGTTTCAGATTCAACAGTGTTACAAACCTCTCCTCCTCCTCCGTTTTGTGCCCTGTCCTCCATTTCACCCCCTCTGCCCGACCCGGAGTGTGCCACATTTGGGTTTGAGCCTCTCTCTCCCGCCAGCTCGCCAGAACCTCTCCCCGCCCTCCCCGAGTCGTTAGCGTTAGATTTAGAACCTCAGGAAAACATCCCCGAAACGGCCCCGGACCCCGAGAAGGACGAGAGCAAACCGGGCTCATCTGTGTTTAAGTGGCACACCGTGTTACCGCCGGCGGAGCAGAGCTTGGCCGCGCCCTTCTCACCGTTTCACCCCTCAGCTTCGCCCTCTGACCTCGCCTCGCAGTCCGAGAACGGCGGCCCCTCGCTGGCGCCCGAAGCCGCCGCGTTTCAGGAGCAGTCCTTGCCGTTTCCGGGGGATCTGTCGCCTCTCGCGCTGCAGTTTCCGGTGTCGCCCACGTTCTCTTCGCTGGACGGAGACGCACTTTCGCCGACAGACCTCACGGAGCTGGTGCATTTTTTCGCGGGCGCCGACGCAGATCTGGGGATCGGCGAGGAGTTTTCGAACGCAGCGGCTGAAGAGCAAACGCCGCAGCTTACAGAAGAAAGGTCAGAGGAAAGATCAGAGGAGAGATTAGAGGAGAGATCAGAAGAAACGTCAAAGGAAAGGTCAGAGGAGATGACAGAGCCACAGACGGAGGTGAGGACTGACCACGTGAGGGCCGACCAGGTGAGGACTGACCAGGTGAGGCTGGAGCTGACGCCCAGGGCTCAGAGGAGGAGGAAGAGGAGACGTGGAGCTGCTAAAGTGGAGCTGGAGCCGGAGCTGGACCCGTCGTACTCCGTGATGAAGCCGAGTCTGGAGGAGGTGGAGGAGCAGCTGTTCGTCTCATTCACCTCAAAGGTAAAAACACACTTAGGGTTTTAAAGGGCCAGAAGAGAAAAGCTCGCTCCAAAAGGTGGAGGGAGTTTGGGTGGAAGAGTCTTATACGAGTGTTTATTACTGCTCATATTCCTGCCAGAGTTCAAGGGTTTGATTGTGGTTGTTGGAGACGGTTCGGCCGCTCATAAGCCAATCACACTCAGATTTTTTGGACATGTACAAAGTTTAAGCCTTTCTGGGACAAATGTGTTTGAAAAAACAGATCTGATCTTGACTTGTGTCGTCCCCAAGGGCCCAAAGATATTTTTGTTAGCCCTTCTGTCTGGAGAGGAGATCGAAAAAGCGACAGAACCGTTTTAAGATTCTGACATTGGCATCAAAAAAAGCAATAACAAGAAGCTGGTGTAAAAATGACCCCCAGCGGCTTGATATTTTAGAAAAAATATATTCAATTAGCGTTGGGCCGTATCCAAATTTTGATACAGTTCTCCTTCTCAGGATTTTACCGGGGTATATGATATTACCTTTTCACCAAAATGTTTTAATACAACTTTAGTAAACTATGAAGCCACACCACTGTACAGTCTGTGTGTACGACCTGCATACGTATAATGTGTGAAAAGTTTCACATGAACCATCTCCAACACGACAGAAACACAGAACACACTCACCATCAGCAGAACACCCCTCTGTCACAGAGAGAACACTCATATTCCACTGAGTCACTGTCCTTTAGTCCAACACAAACTGAACCACATCACACACAAGATTATCACACACATTAGTTTATGTAAATGAGTCGTGTGGTTTAAGTTTAGTTTGTGTAAAACATAAACAAATGTGTCCTGAAACCAAAATGCTGCAAACTGTAGCAATACCAGGATTTATTTATTTTTGGTCCAACTCGCCCGCGGCCGGACTTGCCTTGGACAAGACTTGGACTTGCAGATTTACTCCAGTGGGTTTGATCACAGTCGAGCCCAGAGTCAGAACTACACGAGGAGTTTCACCGCGTGTTTCCAGACGTCGTCCTGTTTGTGACGTCAGCGTGAACAGAAACTAAATCTGTTTCCTTCATGTTTCAGGAGGCGTTGGAGCTTCACATCGGAGACTCTCCAGAAAACTCCCAGACTGACCCCGCCCCCTCGGTTCAGACTGACCCCGCCCCCTCGGCATCACCTGGCCCCGCCCCCTTGATCCAAAATGGCCCTGCCCCCTCTGTACTTTGTTCCACAGACTTTAAGAGAAGTGAGTTTTTGATAAATAGATTTTTAATGACATTATTAGGGGTGTAACGATATATAAGTCTCACAATACGATATCGTCACGGTCTGAACCTTACGATACGATATTTATTGTGATATCCAAATCTCTCTGTACGATATTTATTAAAATTTTCTGTGGAGGTAAACAAAACTGTGAATATTCTACTTTTTCCTCTTCAAACGTCTTGACAAGATTTAATCCAAACAACTCAGACTTAAAAGTGTTAGAACTGTTATTTCTTCTTGTCGTCTGCACTAAAATGGAGCAAAGGATCATGGTCTATGTAGTTCCTCTGTGTTTTTTTAGCTGTTGCTGACTCAAAAAGGGTAAAAAATCACACAGTGTCGCCCGGCTTAACTTGAGTATAGAATGTGATTTATTCATGTTTATAACTCAACTCTCTGTGTGTTTTACCAGTCACAGTGAGTCTGAAGGAAACTCGCCCGGACTCGTCTCCTCCTGCGTCCTCGCCTCCTGCGTCCTCGCCTCCTGCGTCCTCGCCTCCTGCGTCCTCGCCTCCTGCGTCCTCGCCTCCTGCGTCCTCGCCTCCTGCGTCCTCTGCCTCCTGCGTCCTCACCTCCTGCGTCCTCTCCTCCTGCGTCCTCTCCCACACTAGAAGGAGACAAGGAAACCGAGAGGAAACCAAACAAGGAGGCAGGGGGGAGGAGACGACACAAGGAACCACAGAGGGAACTGAATGAGGAGCTGGAACGAGAAACTGCTGCTGCTTCAACGAATAACGAGGACACTAACGAGGACGCTAACGGAACAGATCTGAAGGACGCACAGAACAAGGAACCATCTAGAACCGACCCAGATCGGGAACCAGAGAACATCCAGCAGAGCTCAGAGGAACACGGTGAGTCCAGCCTGAGTTTTCTGAACCTAGAGTGAGGAATCCTGTAAATAAATCGGGATGGGCGATATATCAGTTCCAGTCGATATCAGCGTCGTTTGATATTTGTGTTCATTATTTAGTTATTTTTCCAAAATTGTAAAGTTCATTAGTGATTTTTACTTCATCTTAAGAGAAATGTGGGTCTCAGTTTGGATTTCAGAAGTGAATTATCGATATGGGCAAATATCTGCAGCAGGTCAAATATCAGATATCGTATCGGATAAAAAAGAAAACCATATCGCACCATCCCTAAAAATAAAAACTAAATGTAAACAGTGTCATGGGGCAGTTCGTTCTGATGAGCAGCACTCGCCTTTAGTCCAACAAGAGTTTATAAAGAAACAGCAGTATTTAAAGGTTGTATAGAGGATTTTTTTAAGGGAAGAGAAATACAGCGACAGTCCTTGTGCTCATTCAGAATTACTGTTGAAGTTTCCTGTCTAGAAGTAATTCAGCGACCGACGCGTCAGTTTTTAGACCCTTCGTCTGCTTCGGTCGCGCCATCGCTGGACGAGATCTCCAAGAATCACCTCAGTTTGGTTTTGCTACTTTTCCTCTTCTCTTCTTCTTTCAGCGACTTCTTCTTTCAGCGACCTCAAAAACGGACTTTCTTTTGCGGCGAACCGGTCTTGGATTCTCGTCCGCCGTCGCGACAAACTTTGCGAAATGCGTGGAAGCGACAGTTCGAAAAAGCCTCTAAGAACCGCCGTGTAAACCACGTAATCCCCGCGCTCCGACGAGTCAGTTACACTAGGGAGTTTGATTTACAACCTAACAGCCAATAGAAAATGAGGGAGCCTCGTTTTCTATTGGCTGATGTTTATCTGGCCTCACTACGTCCACAGTTGATAGATTTTCGTTCTTTTTTTTTTTTGGTCATCATAAATACAAAGCTGCTGCGTCTCTGTAACGGTATTTTAATCTTTCACTGACAGTTTGAAACTAAAAAAAATACTCCATACAACCTTTAACAGAATATTTAATACCTGTGTGATGTTGCCCTCATCAAACACAAACCTACACAAAAACTTTGTCTAAAACTGTGTAAAAAGTTTGGTTTGTGTGATTCTGGTTCTTAAAGTATGAACAGTTTTATTTTGGGCCGATGACGTCGACGAAACGGCCTCAAAACTGCAGAAAATGATACAAGTGTTTGTGTTCGGTTTGTGCTGAGACTGTTTTCATTTGTGCAAGTTTATTTCTAAAATGAAAATTGAATATGTTATAAATCGAATGGGAATATTTTATCACAAATCACACAAATGAAACATTTTGCAGCACAAACGAAACACAAACAATAGTGTAGGTGTAGGTGTGTGTTTGATGGGGCTCAGCTTCACGGAGGTGTCTTTGGTGACAGTGTATGTGCGACTCGTGTGTGTGATCTCCTCTCATCTCTCCTCTCGTCTCTCGTGTCCTTTCAGTCTGTGTGTCTCTGGAGCAGCAGATCTTTGAGTTTGAGCAGATTCTTCTCAGGGACGTGAAGCTCATGAAGCACAAACAGGTGATCCACCCGGAGTTACAGCAAGGTACTGCACCTCCTCCAGCTCCTCCTTGTCCTCTATCCTTCCTCCTCCTTCACCCTCTCCTCCCTCTCCTGTGTCTGTGTCTCGGTTCGGTTCTGTTCGGTTTCGGTTCAGTGTTTTTTTCCTTCTCCACAGTGGGTCTGAAGATGAGCCTCCTGGACCCGTCTCTCCCTGTGGACCTTCAGTACCTGGGCATCCCTCTGCCCCTCCCCCCTCCAGGAACCAATCAGGAGCCCAGTTTGTCCGACGCAGGTGAGTGCGCTCAGACCAAACTCACAGGTGAAAGCATTAATTAAAACTCTTCCAGACCTCAAGGTAATTTTATTTGCCCTTGTCTGGATTTTTTTCTTAATTTTACTATTAAACCTTCCCCTTTTCCCCCTGATGAAGTGTTATTCATCCTTTTACATTCTTTTATTTCATAATCTGCTGCTGGAGTCGTGTCATGTGGCTGGAATAAAAACTACAGGACCAGAAATACACGTGAAAAAAAACAAAACACTTTCACATAAACTCACACAAACAGGTAGAAACAACTTTTTGGACATAAACGTTTTTTAATTTCTGGCCTTAGCTACAAAAGTGTAAAATATCAAGTCTGTAAATAAACTCAAAATCTCCTTATTGCCTCAAAACCATATAAAAAAAGTGCGGTGTCCTCATGACTTGACTGGTGCAGGTCGTGGAAACAAACAGTGGGTTTATTATATTTGGATTTGGACATTTGGACTCAAATAAACCTGAACAGAAAAAGAACTAGAGATGCACAATTCCACAGACAAACATGTGTCATTTGTCCATTTATGTGAGAAACATCTGCACTTAGAGCGACTTTTTCACTTGTTCTGAACACAGACGCTCAGAACATCGACCGTTTTGACTCACTTCAATCTTTGACAAAGTTTGGACCAATCAGAATGGACGGAGCGACTGAGTTTGGACCAAAATGAAGTTCCGATTGGACACTTGTTTTCTCGACGTCGTCTTTTATGGTTGGAAAGTTTCCCTGCAGACTTCGCGCGGCGTCGCTCTCTCGTCTCTCCTCGTCGTGTTTTCTTCTTGTGGTTAAAATGTCTTTGTCTCGTTCGTCTGTAGGGGGCGCCACTGGAGCCTTCGTGTCCCGGACAGGAAAAACCACCGACGTGACTCAGATCAAAGGATGGAGAGACAAGTACGACTCTGCACTGCCCCCTGAAGGTGAGACAGAGACACTGCCCCCCGAAGGTGAGACAGAGACACTGCCCCCCGAAGGTGAGACAGAGACACTGCCCCCCGAAGGTGAGACAGAGACACTGCCCCCCGAAGGTGAGACAGAGACACTGCCCCCTGAAGGTGAGACAGAGACACTGCCCCCCGAAGGTGAGACAGAGACAGAGGGTTTGGTCGGAGTCAAAGGTGAAGCGCCCAAACGAACCCAAACAAACATGGCAGGGACAGAACCAGGACTAAACCAGGACTAAACAGGGACTAAACCGGGGATTAAACTGGGACTAAACCAGGATTAAAGTAGGACTAAACAGGGACTAACCAAGGACTAAACCGGGGACTATATTAGGAACTAAACCAGGACTAAACTGAGTCTTGACTGAGGACTAAACCGGGACTAAATTGGGACTAAACTGGGACTAAATTGGGACTAAACTGGGACTAAACTGGGGACTAAACCAAGACTAAACTGGGTCTTAACCAGGGACTAAACTGGGACTAAATCGGGACTAAACCGGGACTAAAGTTTTTGTTCGTGTTTGTTTGTCTCCACAGCGCCCCCTGTGCCAGAGCCGAAGAAGAACCTGTCGGCGTTCTGCAGTGACATGTTGGACGAGTATCTGGAGACGGAGGGAAAACTCATCGACGAACGCGCGTCCTCCTTCACGGCCCCCGACCCCGCCCCCTCCCTGGCGAGCTACGTGCGCACGCTCACCTGCACCGTGAAGGCCAACGCGGCGGCGGACATCAGCACCAGCGACATCATCTCCGGCTTCGTCCCTCCCTCCAAACGCCCCAAACCCCCGCCCAACCGCGCCGCCAAGAAAACCTTCAAACACAAGAGGAAACTCGGCCGCAGAGACGAAAACGCCAAAGTCACGACGAAGGAGGAGGAGCAAAGCAAAGCGCCGCCCAGTGTCCAGAACGAAGAACTGTCGGACGTCTCGAAACTCAAGAAACTCCGAGAGACACGGCGTCTGTTTAAGGCCGGGTTCAACGACGACGCGCCAACGATTCATCTGAAGAAGTTTGGAGAGAACGAAGAGGATCCGAGTTTGGAAACGGAAAATACGATGGACTCGTACGATTACGACTTCACCGAGCCGCTGTCGCACTCGCCCAAACCGCAGAAGAAACAGAAGCTACGGTCCGACGCGTTTCCCAAAGAGAACAGCTCTAATTTCGACTCGTTTTCAGAGAGTTCCCGGTTGAGCGCGCACGAGTTCGACCACACGGAGCCCATCTCGGACCCGACCGAGTCCGGACCGAGCCGGGTCAAACGCAGAAGGCGGCGGCGGCGGCGGTCCGAGGAGCTGGAGCTGATGGCGCCGCTCGAGTCCGATTCCGAACTGTGCGCGGAGGAAACCGACCGGAAACCGACCAACCAGAGCCAGAGCGCCCACGACACGGCCAATCAGAGGCAGGAGGAGGCGGAGTCCAGGCGGGCCAATCAGAGCCGGCCGCTGGTGACGAAGGCGCTGGTGAAGCAGAGGGACCTGGAGCAGAGAGGATTCTGGGAAGGAAAACAACGAACGTACATCACCCGCGAGAGAGCCACCGTCGCCCTCAGCTCCCTGTTCACACTCAAGGTACTGTTCACACTCTAGTACTGTTCACACTCAAGTACTGTTCACACTCAAGGTACTGTTCACACTCAGTACTGTTCACACTCACACTAGTACTGTTCACACTCTAGTACTGTTCACACTCAAGTACTGTTCACACTCTAGTACTGTTCACACTCTAGTACTGTTCACACTCAAGGTACTGTTCACACTCAAGGTACTGTTCACACTCTAGGTACTGTTCACACTCAAGGTACTGTTCACACTCAAGGTACTGTTCACACTCTAGGTACTGTTCACACTCTAGGTACTGTTCACACTCAGTACTGTTCACACTCTAGTACTGTTCACACTCAATGGTACTGTTCACACTCAAGTACTGTTCACACTCTGTAGTCACACTGTTCACACTCTGTACTGTCACACTCTAGTACTGTTCACCCTCAAGGTACTGTTCACACTCAAGGTACTGTTCACACTCTATACTGTTCACACTACTCACAGTACTGTTCACACTCAAGGTACTGTCACACTCACACTCAAGGTACTGTTCACACTCAAGAGTACTGTTCACACTCACTACTGTTCACCACTGTTCACTGTTCACTCAGTACTGTACTGTTCACACTCAGTACTGTTCACACTCAAGGTACTGTTCACACTCAAGATACTGTTCACACTCTAGGTACTGTTCACACTCAAGGTACTGTTCACACTCAAGGTACTGTTCACACTCTAGGTACTGTTCACACTCTAGGTACTGTTCACACTCAAGATACTGTTCACACTCTAGTACTGTTCACACTCAAGGTACTGTTCACACTCAAGATACTGTTCACACTCTAGGTACTGTTCACACTCTAGGTACTGTTCACACTCTAGGTACTGTTCACACTCTAGTACTGTTCACCCTCAAGGTACTGTTCACACTCAAGGTACTGTTCACACTCTATACTGTTCACACTCCAGTACTGTTCACACTGAAGGTACTGTTCACACTCAAGGTACTGTTCACACTCTAGTACTGTTCACCCTCAAGGTACTGTTCACACTCAAGATACTGTTCACACTCACTGTTCAAGTACTGTTCACTCAAGGTACTGTTCACACTCAAGGTACTGTTCACACTCAGTACTCAAGGTACTGTTCACACTCAAGATACTGTTCACACTCAAGATACTGTTCACACTCAAGATACTGTTCACACTCTAGGTACTGTTCACACTCAAGGTACTGTTCACACTCAAGGTACTGTTCACACTCTAGTACTGTTCACACTCCAGTACTGTTCACACTCAAGGTACTGTTCACACTCAAGTACTGTTCACACTCTAGTACTGTTCACACTCAAGTACTGTTCACACTCAAGGTACTGTTCACACTCAAGTACTGTTCACACTCAAGATACTGTTCACACTCTAGTACTGTTCACACTCTAGTACTGTTCACACTCAAGATACTGTTCACACTCAAGATACTGTTCACACTCAAGATACTGTTCACACTCTAGTACTGTTCACACTCAAGGTACTGTTCACACTCAAGATACTGTTCACACTCTAGTACTGTTCACACTGTACTGTTCACACTCAAGGTACTGTTCACACTCAAGTACTGTTCACACTCTCACTGTTCACTCTAGTACTGTTCACACTGTTCACACTCAAGGTACTGTTCACACTCAAGGTACTGTTCACACTCTAGTACTGTTCACACTCAAGATACTGTTCACACTCAAGTACTGTTCACACTCTAGTACTGTTCACACTCAAGTACTGTTCACACTCAAGATACTGTTCACACTCAAGATACTGTTCACACTCTAGGTACTGTTCACACTAAAGGTACTGTTCACACTCAAGGTACTGTTCACACTCAAGGTACTGTTCACACTCTAGTACTGTTCACATTCAATGTACTGTTCACATTCAATTTACTGTTAACACTCTAGTACTGTTCACACTCAAGTACTGTTCACACCTGAGGTACCATTCACACCCAAGGTTTGATCGAGGTGATAAAAACAGACGGCCCCATCTTGAAATTGTTCTTGAAGACGTGGACACCTGACGACTGATATATGTACAATTAAAACTTGTAATTAAAATTTAGTTTTATTCAGGTGCCGTCAAAAGTCCAGAAAATA